CCAGCTTGGCCAATATGGCGAAACCCTGTCTCTACTAAAAATACAAATATTAGTCAGGCATGGTGGTACATGCCTGTAATCCACACTACTCAGGAGGCTGAGGCAGAATTGCTTGAACCCAGGAGGAAGAGGTTGCAGTGAACAGAGATCACGCTACTGCATTCCAGCCTAGGCAACAAAGTGAGACTCCAACTCAAAAAAAAAAAAAAAAGGAAAGGTAGAAAATTGGACTGGAATTAGAGATGTTGGTGTGAAATCATGGTTTCTAATTCGAAATATAAGTATGTGTAAATTTACATACACATACAATACACATATTCCCTAGCTGTGTCTTAAGATAGCACTAGAAGCAGCAATATTCAGTAGTAATGAGCGCATCTAGCATCCAGATACTGGTTTGCAAATACTATTCTCAACTAAAAGGAATCTGGGCTGCTTGGAGAAATGGCTGATCTGAGGCTAAAGCCTGAAGCACCTCTTCCAAACTCATTCAGGTTGCTGCTGGTAGAAATAAGTGGCTTGTGGTTGGATGACTTAAATCTCCACTTCTTGTCATCTGCCGGTTGCTCGCAGCTACTAGCGGCTGTCCACAAGTCTTAGATACATGGCAGTTTACTTCAAGGCTAATAACAGAAACTCTCTGATGCTTCCTATCTTTGACTTCAGAACGGGCCCAGCCTCTTTAAAGGGCTCACCTGATTCATTGAGGTCTACCCACGATAATCTCCTCACCTTTTCTAAGACTCAGAAGCAACCGATTTAAGACCTTAATTGCATCACATGTAAAATCTTCGTATTTGCCATATAATGTAAATTAATCATGAAATGAAATCCATCATATTCATAATAATGCCCGCATTCAAGAGGAGGGATTATGTAGGTCATGTACATCAAGGAAGAGGAAACCTGGGAGCCATCTTAGAATTCTGCCTATTACTATACAAAAGAGGAGGGGGAAGGGATCCACTTGTTTTCACTGAAAAATCTTCATTATGCTTTTATAATCCATTAATCCATAATAAACTCCGTAACTTTATTTCACAGTAAACATTTATTTAACTATGTACATGTATAACTTCAGTTAAAAATTATATTTAATAGAATCTAAATGTCACTGAGTCAATAAGATTCACCATTTTTTATGTACCTCTAAGAAAACAAGAACCTGCTAATTAAATGTGAGTATCAATTGTAAAATATATTCCAATTTCAGAGATGTTAAATAATGTGCAGCTCAGAATGACACATATAGTAACTAAAAACATGTCTTTTTTTAGTTTTCTTTTTCCCAGTTAGAATTTCTTTGTTTGTTTTTAAATAATGTAAATGAGTGTCACAAATTTCACAGGAATCAACAGCACTTTTAAGGTGAGTCGGGCACCTTCTCCCCTTTCCTCTTAATCCTTCTAAATGTATCTATTCTTCCTAGTTTTCTGCTCCTTGTTATGAAAATAGACCTCCCCATCTTAATTTCCTTTCACTTCTTGGTCCATTTGGGCTATTATAAAAAAAAATACCATAGATTAGGTGGCTTAAAGAACACTTATTCCTCACAGTTCTGGAGACTCGGGGAGGTCAAGGTCAGGGTGCTGGCAGATTTAGTGTCTGGTGAGGGCCTGCTTCCTGGTTTGTAGATAGCCATTTTCTTGCTGTGTCCTCACATGGTGGAAAAGAGCTCCCCAGGGCCACTTTTATAAGGGCACTAATCCTACTCATGAGGGCTCTACCCTCATACCCCAATCACCTCCCAAAAGCCCTACCCCCTAATACCATCACTTGGGGAGTTAGGATTTCAACACATGAATTTTGGGGGATGCATACATTGGGTATATAACACTTCCTTAAACCTATTTCTTAATGTGTGCTCTTTGCAGGAGCTGAATATAATGAACGCAGTTTTTGGTGAAGAGGTTGGTGAGGGGGAGAAACATGGATGTTGGGAAGAATGTAGATTTGCTTGTGGGTTCTCATTTATTAGTTTGCCTATAGCTGCAGGCAGCATAGCAGAGAACCCAAATCAAAATGGCTTCAACGATAATGAAAATATATCATTTCAGTTGGCATGACATGAAATCTGAAAGTGGGGTATCTCTCCTGAAAGACTGGTTAAGTCCATGGCTCAGCTGTTACCAAGAATTCAGCTTTTCCCCAACTTTCCTCTCTGTCATCTTCAGCTAGCACCCCTTGAAATCTTAAGATAGCTACCTCTGTTCTGGTGTCATATTTAGACATGGTAATGTTCAACTTCCTCCTTGTGTACCTCAAGAGAAAAGATCACTTTTCCAGAAGTGCACCAGAGGACACGTATCCATATTTCAAGCTTATACCAACTATTGGCAAGAAGAATGGCACTTCCTTTATTTGTTGAGACCAGTGGTTTTCAACCTTGGCTGTGCTTTAGAAGCACCTGGGAGCTACTAAAAATTTCATGTCCATATTCCAAGCCAAAAAAATTTTAAAAAGTAAAACATCAAAATTTCTGAAAGTGGGCTCTTGGAATCAGTATTTTTGTTTAAAGCGTCCCATGCAATTCCAATGTGAAGTCAAGGTTGAGAAATACAACATTAGATTCCTGTTGATACAACCCTTCAAGTTGGGTCCAGGGTTCACCCTCCATAAAGCAGAAGTCACTCACTTAGGTGAGGGGGATCTAACCAAAATTGGAATTCTGTTAGGAAGGGGAAAAAACATACGTGAGGGTACACAATCAACAACAGAAGCTACAGAGACCCAGGGTGGTAATGCCTTTTTACAGACATGATTTCGACATCTGTAAGTAGCAACTGCAGCTATTCTTATTGTAATAGTCTCTTTTATAAGATTGTAATAGAGATTAAAAAGAGATTGCTTACTGCAATTTCAAATTCATGGGCTCAAGTGATCCTCCTGCCTCAGACTTCCAAGTAGCTGGGATTCCAGGTGTGCACCTCCATGCCTGGCTAATTTTAAAGATTTTTAGAAGATGAGATCTTGCTATGTTGCCAAGGCTGATCTCAAAACTTCTGGACTCAAGTGATCCTCTTGCCTTGGCCTCCCACAGTGCTGCGATGAAAGGTGTGAGCCATTGCACCTGACCTGAAGAAATCCTTGCATGTAACCCCCTCAATGGTTATGCTTACAAGAAACTAGTCAGTGAACTGAGACAATAATGCTGGAAGTCAGGAAACCTATTAAAACAGGGGTCAGTCTTAACATCTCTGGGTCTGAATTCCAAAGTTCTACAATTAGACAAAGTGAAAACACCAAAAGGCTACATACTTGACCTATATTATCCTGCCAACTGATAAAAATTGAGTTCCACTATTTCGTGGCTTTTAGTAACCAACCATAAAAAGACCCATATGAAACCTGTCACACAAAATTTTAGAAAGGAGAATTCTTTCCATTCTATTCAGTGATTTCCATAATGAAGACCCACATAAGTACTGTTTTTATGAAATTATTAGAGAGGTTTTGCCTCCCACCTCCCTTCTGCTATTGAGAGGTAAGTAGTTGATCACTTTATCCTTTATGCTTTGGCTTTAAAGAAAGTCAGGGATAAACTTAATAGAGCCACGATAACCATGCTGGCCAAGTAAATCTATGCAGATTTTTCCCATACAGCCTTCCTGCTTTATTTCTCCTGGTCTGAATTTTTCAGACCAAGTATGATTTTATATATGTTATATATGCCTGAAGCTGCATCAAGGGTCAGTGAGATTTACTTCACAGGAGGAAACCAAGGAGAGCCGAGAGGAGCAGAGGGAAGTATGAAGCCTGGCCTGGTATGGCTGCAATGGCCAGATGATAGAGCACTTTGGAAACCAGGCAGACAAATGGCTTTTGGTTCAGCGGGGGCATGGCTGAAGCGTATACTTGGAAATCTGCTCTGAGAAACCAGAGCAAACTGTACAGAGGAAAGGGGAGAATGGAAGCCGGCGACTGGCTAGAAGGTGCTCTTGTAACCCTATCAGCTGCTTTGACAACACAGGACAATTTCACGAGAATCTCTCTCTCCTAACTTGATTCAACACAAGTTAAGATATTGCACTGACACAGGTATGCTTGTCTCTTAAAACAATTATTTGAAAAATAAGAGGTTTTAAACATTCTCTATTTGACTTCTGAGGCTCTCAAACCTCTGCTTGGTCTTTTAAATTTACAAGTGAGATGGGTACTGCCTCAGGAATATAAGAATTGTTTTTCCCTCTTGTATATAAACTTTATATACAAAATTTATACTTCCTAAGTATCAAACTATACATGCGGTAATATTAGGAAATAAACTGCTAGACTGTAGTATAAGATTAGTGACAAATACTGACAAGACTCATGAAAATTTAAAAATTAAGTATTCCTATTTATTCGCTTTTTATGCAATGAACTGCATTATCCACCTTATAAGGTTGTTATGAGACTTAAATAAGAAGTGCCTTGTCCTCTTCCCTAGCCACAGCTGGGAAGTAAACCAATCGGCCTGGGCAAACAGCAAAAGGGCACTGAGAGATGACTTGCTCTCCATCCCTCAGTTTCCTGCTTCTAAGGTCCTAGGATTTATTCTTGTTTCCTGCTTTCTTTTGCCTTGTCTGACAAACCTTTGCCTGGAGTATATGCAATTCCCTTCCTTGCTTTAGCGGGATTAGATGGCAATGAAAATAACTTTAATTCCTATTTTCAAACAGGACTTTGCTAAGAAGTATCACTAGCTTTGGTGTACTCTGCATGTCCAGCAAGTTGGTAATACTATTACTTTTCCCAGCAATAAAACAATATAACGACAATAGTTTCCATTTCATGGTATTTGTCTAATATAATAATCAATACTACCATATAAAACTGCATATTTAGAATCTCATTATTTGTACTTGGAACATTTTGCATTTGAATCTTGTGTTAATGATACCATCACATTCCTTAAGTTTATACTGCACACAAGTATTTAATCTGACTACAGTTATAAACCAATGAGAAAGATAAATATTCTTATATTTTAACAATAGAAACGTTAGGAACTCCAAATCTAGAAGTGGTATAGTAAGAGATATTGTTTCACTTTATTTATAATGGTAAGAAACTGGAAATAAATGTCTAACAATAGGAAACTAGTTTTTAAAAAATCACAGAACCGTAATTTAAGCCATAAAATGAAATTGTGAACGACCATTGAAACTTTGTTGTGAAAGTATTTAATGACATAAAGAGAACTAACTCTTGCTTTTACGATCCATCTACCAAGCTCTCCTCAAACTCCTCTACCTTGTCACCCACCCTCACTCAGCCTAACCTTGCTTCCTATTTCACTAAGGAAATCCAATCAATCAGAAGAGGTTTCTACAATTTACTATGACATTTACCCACCAGCCAGCCTCTCTGCCATATATGCTCCTCTCCTATTCCAATGGGTGGAATGTCTCAGTGAAGACCAAGCCCTTCACTTGTACATTAGATCCCAGCTCTCTGTCCCATCCATTATGGAAGCCGCACATCATCCCAATCACACAAGAGGGCACTCTGACTGAGGAATGTTGTAAACTATTCCAAATCACCAGTCTTGAACAGTCTTGAACAGGCATGGGTGTAAATACTCATCATCTGTACAATGCTACCTACAGAAGAAAACAGAAAACAAAAGCACATCAGCTCATGGAAATTAGCCGCCCTTACTCCCTACTCCCTGCTCCTCGCTCCCAAAACAAAAACACAAACATACAGCTGAAGAAAACAATTAAGCAAAAATCCACACTGAATTAAATACCCCTCTTTGGGAAAATTAAAGAACATTCGGAATTGAAATTAAAAAACTAAGATTAGAACTGAACCTCCCAAAAAATAAATAAATAATGAGACAAGAGTTGAGTACCTCAGAAATGATAAACAAGAAAAAAAAATTCTATTACAAATGAAGACTACATTACAAGAAAGAATAAATTTGAATGGAAACATGATAAATATTATCGGACAAAAGCAGAAAAAGAACAAAAAATGAGATAAAAAAGAAAAATTTAATAGAAAATAAAGAAAACACATTATAGAGAAAGAAACAGTAACAATAAAATGACAGAAACTAATCCAAATATTTGGTCATTTCAATAAACGTGAATGGTCTTAATCCACGTATCAAAAGAAAAAGATTTTTGGTTTAGCCTGTAGAGCAAAACCCAACTACTAGAAACAAACCTAAAAATTATTGAGAAAAGCTAAAAATAGGCCAGGCATGGTGGCTTACACCTGTAATCCCAGCACTTTGGGAGGTCAAGGCAGCCAGAGCACTTGAGGTCAGGAGTTGGAGACCAGCCTGACCAACATAGTGAAACCCCATCTCTACTAAAAACACAAAAAAATTAGCTGGGCGTGGTGGTGTGCGCCTGTAGTCCCAGCTACTCAGGAGGCTGAGGCACGAGAATTGTCTGAACCTAGGAGGCATAGATTGCAGTGAGCTAAGATTGTGCCACTGCGCTCCAGTCTGGTGCCTGGCAACAGAGTGAGACTCTGTCTCAAAAAAAAAAAAAAAAAAGCTGGACGTGGTGGCACATGCCTGTAATTCCAGCTATTCAGGAGGCTGAGACACGAGACTCACTTGAACCCAGGAGGCAGAGGTAGCAGTGAGCAGAGATCATGCCACTTCACTCAAGCCTAGACAACAAAGCGAGACTCCATCTCAAAAAAAAAAAAAAAAGAGAGAAAATAAAAGCTAAAAATAAAGTGATGAGCGAATTAAAAGCAAATGGAAACACATTTTCAAGTTGCAGTACAGAATCTGAAACCACATCAATGAACTTTTTATACTGTTACATTAAAATCCATTGGTCTTTGTATGCTGAATATATGTATAATTGTTTTATTTGGAAAGTATCAGTTTACTAATCTATGCAGATCTTCCACACGTTTCATTACATAGTACAGTGTTTTAAAAAATCATTCTTTAATGAATCCTGCAAAAAAGTCATTAGGTACAGGAAAGCTTTCAAGGTCACAGGGACAGATCAAATGTTCTAAAATTACAATTTTTGCTTAAAAGCTTGAATTTTATCATTAACAACAAATATTTTCAGTTGTCCTCAAAGTTCAGGGTCACTCTATTCATTTGTGAAAAAGTTGCTGTCAAACATCTATATCTGAAAAAAAATTGCCCCTCAGTTTTGATTGTTTGTTTGAGTTTGGGTTTGTATGTGTGTCTGGTTTCTTGTATTTTGTTTTGTTTTGGGTAGAGACAGGGTCTTATTGTGTTACCCAGGCTAGACCTGAATTCAAACTCCTGCCTCCAGCTCCCAAGCAGCTGGGATTATAGGCTCATACCAACACACCCAGCTCTCAGTTGTTCTTTCAAGTAAAAATAGCAGTCATGAAAAACAACTCATTCAGCTTGCAACTCAGGTAACGGCACACACACTTTTCCTTAGGAATACAGTTGCAGAAGTACTTTATATATCTTCCCATTCTGCTAGGCATAATGTTGAAAAGACTGTATGAATTGAGGTTTAACAGCATTAATAACTGTCACTGCTTAATCAAGGACATTCTTAAATGAACCTTTCCCCCAAGGCAGATGTTTTCCAAAGGGAACTCCACTCAGGTTTAGAAACCAGGCAGTCTCAATGGAACATAAACTCTTCTAGTGGAAATGTCTCTACTGTTTGCCCTATTGAGTATGGTGCTTTCTTATTAAGGTATATTTTATCATGTTTAAAAAAGTATCCCCCACAATGATCTTCTACGTAGAAAACCTCAACACACAAAAATCAGGTGCATTTCTATACACTACCAATGAACAATCTAAAAAGGAAATTAAAACAATTCAATTTACAATAGTCAAAAAGAATAAAATACAGCTGACTCTTGAACAACACAAGTTTGAACTGTATGAATCCACTTATATATACGTATTTTTCAATACATACAATGGAACATTTTTTGAAGATTTGTTACAATTTGGAAATATATAGATAGATAGATAAGAATCTATTTATGTGTTAATCATCTCTTTATGTTATTGGTAAGGCTTCCTGTCAGCAGCACGCTGTTAGTAGTTATGATTTTGAGGAGTGAAAAGTTATATGCAGATTTTTGACGCACAAAGGGTCAGTAACCCTAATTTCTCTGTTGTTCAAGGGCCTAATGTACTTAGGAACTAATTTAACCAAAGAGTTGAAACTCGTAAAATAAAAACTATAAAACACTACTGGAAAAAAAATCAAAGGCACATAAATAAATGAAAAGATACCCCATGTTAATGGACTGAAAGATATTATTGTTAAGATGTTATTAGTACTCAAAGCAAGCTACGTATTCAAGGCAATCTATCAACTTCAAATTGATGTTTCTTTCCAGAAATAGAATAATCCGTCTTAAAATTCGTATGGAATATCAAGGGACAAATAGCCTAGAAATTTTTTGAAAAAGAACCAATTTGAGGGACTCACATTTCCTGAGTTCAAGTTAATACAAAGTGACAGTAATCAAAACGGAGTGCTAAAAGCATAAAAGACAGACATATAGAGCAATGGAACAGAATAGAGAGGCTAGAAATAAACCCTCACATCTATGGTAAATAACTGCTGACAAAGGTACCAAGACCATTCAATGAAAGAAGGACAGTCTTTCAACAAATGATGCTAGGAAAACTGGATCTCCTCATGAAAAATAATGAAGTTGGACCACTGTCTTAGACAACATACACAAAATAAATCAAAAACCTAAATGTAAGAGCTAAACCTATAAAGCTCCTAGAGGAAAACATAAGGGCAAGTCTTCACAACACTGGATTTGAACATAATTTCTTGGATATGACATCAAAAGCACAGATAATAAAAGAAAAAATAGATTAAAATTGGACTTCATGAAAATTAAAAACTATTGGGACATCAAAGAACACTATCAACAGAATAAAAAGACGACCTACAGAATGGGAGAAAACACTTGCAAATCATATATCTCATTAGTAATTAACACCCAGAATCTATAGAGAACTCTTAAAACTCAACAACAAAAAAGGAAGTAACCCAATTCAAAAATGGGCAAAGACTTGAATAGACATTTCTCTAAAGATTATACGAATGGCCAATAAACACATAGACGCTCAACATCATTAACTGCGTATCAAAACCATGAGATGCTACCTCACATCCATTAAGATGACTATTCTTTAAAAACACACACACAACAGGCCAGGCGTGGTGGCTCATCCCTGTAATTCCAGCACTTTGGGAGGCCAAAATGGGTAGATCACTTGAGGTCAGGAGTTCAAGACCAGCCTGGCCAACATGGTGAAACCCCATCTCTACTAAAATACAAAAATTAGCTGGGTGTGGTGGTACGTCTGTAATCCCAGCTACTCAGGAGAGTGAGGCAGGCAAATCACTTGAACCCGGGAGGCAGAGGTTGCAGTGAGCTGAGATCAAGCCACTGTACTCAAGCATGGGTGAGAGAACAACCCTGTCTCAAAACAAAACACATATACAACAGAGTAAGTGTTGACAAGGATGTGGAGAAACTGAAGGAGGCTTTGTGTATTATTGGTGGGGATGTAAAATGATACAGCCACTGCAGAAAACAGGCACAAACAATCCTCTGACCTCAGTTTCCCAAGGAGCTGGGACTACAGGCATGCACCACCATACCCAGTTAATTTTTGTATTTTTTGTAGAGGTAGGGTTTCACCATGTTGCTCAGGCTGGTCTCGAACTGCTGGGCTCAAGTGATCTGCCTGCCTCAGACTCCAAAATTATTGGGTTTACAGGTGTGAGCCACCATACTTGGCCCAAGCTTTGTTCTTTTTGCTCAGGACTGCCTTAGCTATTCGTGCTTTTTTGTTCCATATGAATTTTAAAATATATTTTTCTAGTTCTATAAATAATGTTAATGGGAGTCTGATAGGAATAGCATTGAATCTGTAAATTGCTTTTGGTAGTGTGGCCATTTTAATAATACTGATGTTTCCCATCCATGAGCATGGAATGTTTTTCCATTTGTTTGTCATCTCTGATTTCTTTGAGCTATGTTTTGTAATTCTTGTTACAGAGGCCTCTTTGGTTAGCTATATTTTTGTTGTGGTTATTGTGAATGGGACTGCATTCTTGATTTGGCTCTCTGCTTGGCTGTTGCTGGTATATAGGAATGGTACACCTACAAAATCAAAATGCTACACCTATAAAAATCAGCAATCTTTGCACACTGATTTTATATCCTGAAACTTTGCTGAAGCCATTTATTAGATCCAGGAACCTCAAGGCAGAGATGACAGGGTTTTTTAGGTATAGAACCATGTAATCTGTGAACAAACAGTTTGACTTCCTCTCTTCCTATTTGGATGCCTTTTACTTCTCTTACCTGATTGCTCTGGCTAGGACCTCCAGTATTATGTTGAACAGGAGTGGTGAGAGAGGGCATCCTTGTCTTAATAATACAAATTCCTAAGGAATACACACACACGCACACACACACACACACACACACACACACACACACACACACACACACACAAAAACCTACTAGAGCTAATAAATGAATTCAAAGTCTTGGGAAACAAGATCAAAAACAAAAATAAATTCTATTTCTACATATTACCAACGATCAATCTAAAAATAGAGTTTAAGTGACAATTCCATTGAACAGTATCAAGCACAATATGTAGGAATAAATTAACAAAAAAGTGTACACTGTACACTTGTATGATGAAAATTACAAAACTGAGAGAAAATGAAGATCTAAATAAATGGAGAGACATTCCATACTCATACATCAGAATTCTATGTGCAATTCTCCACAGATTCTATGCAATCCCTACCAAAATCTCAGCATGGGTTTTTTGCAGAAATTTACAAGCTGATCCTAAAACTTATATGGAAAAGCAAAAGATTCAGAGTAGCCAAAACAATCTTTGAAAAGTAGAAGAAAGCTCGACAGCTTACACTTCCTTATTTCAACACTTAGTACAAAGCTATGGTGATCAAGACACTGTGATAGTGTATAAGGACACACATATACACATCAAAGGAACACAACTTAGTACAGAAATAAATCCATACATTTATAGTCAGTTGATTTTTGACAAAGGTGTGAAGGCAAGTCAGGGAAATGGGAGTTTAAAAAAAAAAAAATGGTGCTGGTGACCAGGCATGGTGGCTCACCTCTGTAACCCCAGCACTTTGGGAGGCCAACGTGGGCAGATCACCTGAGGTCAGGAGTTCAAGACCAGCCCAGCTAACATGGTGAAATTTTGTTACTACTAAAAATACAAAAATTAGTCAGGCATGGTGGTGCACGCCTGTAGTCCAAGCTACTAGGGATGCTGAGTCATGAGAATCACTTGAACCTCTGGGAGGCAGAGGCTGCAGTGAGCCAAGACTGTGTCACTGCACTCCAGCCTAGAAACAGACTCTGTCTCAAAAAAAAAAAAAAAGGTACTGAGAAAATTGGGTACCTACATGCAAAAAAATTAAGTACCCTTAACTCACACAATTCCTGAAAACTAACTCAAAATGAATCATAGACATAAACACAAGAGTTAAAACTAGAAAATTTTTAGAAGAAAACTTAAGAGCAAATCTTGTGACTTTGTGTCAGGCAATGAATTCTTAGATACAACATGGAAAGCATGATCCATAAAAGACAAAACTGATAAACCGTACTATATAGAAAAGAAAATTTTCATGCTTCAAAAGATACTACTAATAAAATAAAAAGACAAGTCACAGATTGGGATAAGATATTTGCAAATCACGTATCTAATAAAGGATCTGTATCCAATATATATAAAGAACTCCTAAACCTCAGTACTAAGAAAACAATCTAATTTTAAAATGGGCAGATATCTAAACTGACTAATGGCCAATAAGCACATGAAAAGATGTTCATAGTCATTACAGAAAAGAAAATTACTACTGGAAAAGCTATAATCAATATGACTGATAGTAACAAGTGTTGCTCCAGTAATTAACACATACTGGAGAAAAAGACAAATGGAGAAGAACTGATAACCCAGAGACAGACCTTCAGTTCTTCACTTGATGGAAACTTGATATATACCAACAGGGGCATTGCAGGTTAGTGGGAAAGGGCAGTCTTTTTAATTAAATAATGCTTGGGAGATTGGTTATCTGTATAGGAAAATGGGAAGAAAAAAATAATAATAATAATATAAGGCCTCCATCTGATACCATTTTTAAAAAGTCAATTAGTATTATTTTTTTCCTTTCTCCCTAGAGTTATAGCTATACTCTTTTTTCATTCATTCTAGCAGTTCCTCCCACACGTAAAGTACAAAAGGTATAGTTTCCTTCTCCTTGACTTTGGGCTTGGCCACATGACTTACTTTAGCCAATGGGTTATAAGTAAATGTGCTGTAAACAGGGCTTTGCCCTCTTGAGTTTCTGCCAACATCATGAGAAGAGCGGGCCCTAGCTACCCCACTGGTCCCAGGAGAATTAGAAAAGTATGGGGCAGAACTGTCCCAGCAGATCTGCCATATGAAACAGAGCCAATCCAACCAAGGCCAGACAAGATCAGCCAACTCCCAGCCAATCTATATATGCATAAAAAGTAAGTACTTTGTGTTATTCACTACTGAGACCCTTGTGGTTGTTTTTGCTATGCACCATTACTTACCAACTATTAATACAATTCCCAAAGGATGAAAATATAAATTTATAAAGCAAAGCTACAAAACTTAAAAAAAAAGTTAAATTACTTTACAGCCTCATGATAAAGAATTTCTTAAATGAGACACAAAACATAAAACTAACCAGAAACAAAAAGATTACCAAAATAAGTCATTCTACTCATTGAGATGCCTCAAAAAAAAAAAAAAAAAAAATTGTAGACTTCCAACAAAACGGGAGAAGGCCTGTCACACATAACTCATAAAGAATTATGTAAATACATAAGAAATCAATCTATAAAGGACAATCAGACCAATAAAAACATGAGCAAAAGACATTAACAGGCATTTCACCAAGATAAAACTCAAAAGCCAGTAAGCATAAGAAAAGATGCTGTACTTCATGCAAATTAAGTTAAATTATATTTTACATCCACTAAATTGATTTTTAAAAATTCAAGTATTGACAGCATAAAGCAGGCGCCCCCAAACTATGGCCCGAGGGCCGCGTTCGGCCCCCTGAGGCCATTTATCCGGCCTCCCCGCCGCACTTCAGGAAGGGGCACCTCTTTCATTGGTGGTGAGAGGAGCACAGTATGTGGTGGCCCTCCAATGGTCTGAGGGACAGTGAACTGGCCCCCTGTGTAAAAAGTTTGGGGATGCCTGGCATAAAGTATGGGCAAGTATAGAATAATAGGAGTTCTTCTACACAGTTTGTAGGAGTATAAACTGATACAACTACTTGAATAAACTGATATTATATTAAATTTTATGATGATATAAGTCTACTCCTTGTCACATACTATGGATAACTTGTGCACATTAATACCAAGAGGTATGTACGGGGATATTTACAACAAGACTTCGTATTTTTAAAAATTGAAAATAACCTAAATATTAATAGAATGACTAAATAACAGAAACATAGAATGAAATGTTACATAGGAGTAAAAATGAATGACAGCTGCATGCATCTACATGAATGAATAATGTTGAGTGAAAACTGCCATGTCATCAATTAATACAGAGAGTATGATATAGTCTAAATAAAATCCAAACATAAGCAAAACTAATATACTGTTTTGTGAATTGTACATATTTGGTAAACCTACAAAGAGACACAAGAGGAGAATAAAAATATACATGATAGACAAGCCCACACAAGGAACAGGCTGATGTAGATCCATATAGGTATATAAATATATCAAATATTTTATAAATATTTTTTAGTGCCAGAGAAAGAAGAAAAATACTTCTATTTGAGAAAAGGAAAAAAGCCCTATTGAGGCTGACATGCCAACTTCTGGAGATGTTCAAAGGAAAAAAAATGTGGTAAATTCTAGTTTTACCTTTTTATGTCTATTTTATTTACATGATGTCTTTTCAGTATCCAAAACCTAATATGAAAAGAAAATCACATAATCATTTTTATGCATTCATGTCTAATTCACATATACTGTTATGCTATTATAATTTTCAAATTATTCCAATCACATTCATCCTAATATTCATCTAATATTATTTACTACTACTACAGGAACTGCAAACTTATTTTATATATATCACTTTTCCATATCTATTTCATACAAATAAACAACTAAATATTTGGTACAACTTCTAATTCCACATTAAACTTCGTTTAGATTTTCAACCTAAAAATATCTATAAACAAGAACCTTTGGCTTCATAATATTTACATATGCTCAATGGAACATTTTGCCACAAGATCGTATGGCTGGTTTCAAAAGACTTATTTTCATGTATACTTAGATTGAATTTTTAAGAGACTAGCTCCAACTAACATGAGAAATAAAAGGATACAAATGACTATAATTTTTCAATAACCTTTTCTCACAGACTGAAAGAATATCTGAAGAAAACATTTTGAAATTACTACTTAACTATTCTTGGATGTAATTCTAGAATGTTTATAAACCCATAACTTGTAACTTTCCTTCTAAGACTCTTTATAACAGGAATACTATTTCTCTTATTTGATTTGTTTTATTTAGCTTAACTTAGCTATTAAAATGGCTAATTATGCTGAAGATTTTATGAACATTCCAACTTAAACCAGCAATGAATATATATCTTCCTTTCAGCTGCAAGGAAACATATACAAATGAAAATATGTAAACTAAATTCTTAAATTATCAGTCCTAATATATCCCATAAGCTAATCTATGAGGTACTCTTCTTAATTATCTTCAAATGCTCATCCTTAGTTCAAATGTATTCCTTAAAAAAGAAAAAAAAAAGATTAAAAATTATACTCACTTTAGCCAACAATTCTTGTGTTTCAGGAGTCAATGGAGCATGAGAAAACTTGCAATATTCTCCCTGATAACATTTTGTTCCTGTATGGTAAAACTTACAAGGATATTCATGTAACGCAAGTGTTAAGGAAGAGAACAATTTTAATCCAACTGAAATAATGTTACAAACTTAATGACTTTATTTTTCCTAAATAAAGGCCTCTGTGGCCAGGGTGGCTCACACCTGTAATTGTAGCACTTTAGGAGGCTGAGGTGGGTGAATCACTTGAAGCCAGGAGTTAGAGACCAACCTACCCAACACGGTGAAACCGCGCCTCTACTAAAAATACAAAAGAATTAGCCAGGCATGGTGGCACAGGCATACCTGTAATCCCAGCTACTCAGGAGGCTGCGGCACCAGAATCATTTGAACCTGGGAGGCAGGGGCTGCAGTGAACCGAGATTGTGCTACTGCACTCCAGCCTGGGATACAGAATGAGACGATGTCTCAAAAAAAAAAAAAAGACCTTTCCTACTAGTAGAAACTGGATCTCTCTATTTAAAATACAAGATAATAAATTATTAACTGAATTACATTTAAAAATCTTAATTTTAGGCCTGGCATGGTGGCTCACACCTGTAATCCCAGCACTTTGGGAGGTTAAGGTGGGCGGATTGTGTGAGGTCAGGAGTTCAAGACCAGTCTGGCCAACGTGGTAAAATCCCATCTCTACTAAAAATACAAAAACATTGGCTGGGTGTGGTGGCATGCACCTATAATCCCAGCTACACGGGAGGCTGAGGCAGGGAAATTGCTTGAGCCAGGGAGGTAGAGGTTACAGGGAGCCAAGATCACGCCACTGTACTCCAGCCTGGGCGACAGAGCTAGACTCCGTCTTAAAAAAAAAAGTCTAATTTCAGAAAGACTACATAAATAAATCAAGTGTATTGGCTATCACAGGCCACTTTTTTCCTTCATGTCCATTCTTCTAATAGAGTACAGGCATATTTCATACATGAAAGAGATAAATATTTTAAATACCTTGATAAATGTGATTATTTTTAAAGCATTTCTTTCGGGGTGGAGGAATCAAAGTCAACAATGACTTGTCTTACAAATCTGGATCCTTTGTACATTAGACTTGTTTACAACAGAATAAATTTATATAACTTGAATATTGTTTTCTAGGGAAAAAAATCCTCAACTTACAATTTGATATTCCTTATATTCAATGCCTGAAGAAAAAAAATTTTGTGATGACTAAAGGTGCCATTAACCTAAAATGTTTACGTTTCATGTATTTTCAACTTTCTATGCCACTTGCACTGAAGAATTAAGGTTATTCTGCAAATTAAGAGACAATTAATTTCTATGTAGTACAGAATACAGGTACTCCCAAATTATGTAATCCCTGCCTTTTTATGAAGTAGCTTATTTGAATATAGATTCAATTAGTCAATATCACAGTAGAAACTGTGATACTCTTTCTGGGAAAAACTTGAAGACTTGAAGAGTTCTCATGGACCCTCTATACCACCCAGGTTGAGCAGAAAGAACCATCATTTGAGAGATTTTCTAAAGAATTCCTCTTTTCTTGCTTATGAAAATTCCATGTACAATTTAATCATTTTGATACTAAGTTAGGCTTGGATAGTATCATTTTGGTATAGCTAAAACACTGGTTTCGTTAAAAATTTTGCACATTTAAAATGTTCCTGTAAATATTTATAAAGAGTAAAGTCACTATATCTCGTGATAAAGGATATTATGCAAATACAGACAGTTTTCACCTCTGGTACAATATCCTTGTACATAAAACTTACACATTTCCTTTTTCTTCTCTATCTCTGCATCATGATCAAATTTACACTGGTCTCCCTAGGCCAAAAGAAAGAGCAAGGAAAAGCCATTATTTCTAATAGTCAACTCGTTACAATTTAATTCCTACTAAACTTTAAGCAAATGATTCCAGAAAGAACCAAAGTCTTAGAGGTAGCACATTCTAATTCTTAATAAATTATCTAACTACATCGCATGTATCTGATTAAAATTTTAAGTCCCAAACATTTTTAAACACAAAGCATTTTTTAAAATTATCTACTTTTTTTTTTTTTTTTTTTTTGAGACAGAGTCTTGCTTTATAGCCCAGGCTGGAGTGCAGTAGCACCATCACAGCTCACTGCAGCCTTCACTTCCCAGGTTCAAGCAATTCTCCTGCCTTAGCCTCCCAAGTAGCTGGGACTACAGGCATGCACCACCACGCCTGGCTAACTTTTGTATTTTTGTAGAGATGGGGTTTCACCATGTCGGCCAGGCTGGTCTTGAACTCCTGAGCTCAGGTGATCCGCCCACCTCAGTCTTCCAAAGTGCTGGGATCACAGGCGTGAACCACCGCGCCCAGCTACTTTTTAAACATAAAAGAATACTTAACTGAAATTTTCTAATTGAATTTTTTCCAGAAGGAAACAGTTTTAAAAACCTAAAGGTATGAATTAAAAGGGTATAAAACAGAAAGAGCAGTTTTACATTTTAGACTTTTGCTTACACATTTTTATACCTTAATACATTTTCTTTCAAGAAAATATTTACAAATTTGTTTTCCCTTGCGTTCCACTGTATGTTGGTTGATGAATGCCTGACTCAAATGCTGCTGCTTCTCTTTAGGTTTACCATCCTTTAAAAACAAAAACAAAAAAATAAATGTAAGAAAAAGAAAATTAATTATTTTATTCTGATGCACAAAATTATTTAAACCAACTTCAAAGCCTTAAAGGGCGACTCTTCTAAATTGGCCTTCATATGTAAAATTTGGATTTCTGTATACTAGGTTGAAAATAAATGTTTTGTTCAACAGCATTCCATCATTGAATATTCGTGTTTGTATGATTTGAGTATTTTATCATAGATTACCCTTATTTTGTAAAAATGATTGAAAAACATTTTTAAATGGGCTAGATGAGGTGGGCAGATCACTTGAGGTCAGTTGTTCAAGACCAGCCTGGCCAACATGGTGAAACCCCGTCGCTACTAAAATATAAAAATTAGCTGGGCATTGGGAGGCTAAGGCAGAAGAACTGCTTGAACCCAGTGTAGGTTGCAGTGAGCTGAGAGCATGCCACTGCACTCCAGCCTGGGCGACAGAACAAGATTCCATCTCAAAAAAAAAAAAAAATTTTTTTTTTAAATGACAGTGATAGTATTATAATTAAAAAGCAAAGTCTAAGAACAAAGATCTTTAGAGCAATAGAGACAAAGCTGAAAATCAGAGAGTGAACCAAAAGTAGTGGAATCTATAGTTTCAACGAGACGCTAACTGGGTGAGTTGAGTACACTTACAAGCTCAAATTAACAGTCACTATACAACTAGAAATATACCCTCAAAGATGGTGATGGAAGTATAAAAGATTTTTATATATAAAAAAAGGAAATTTTATAATACATTTAAGCTCTTTGGGAACAGAGGTACTTTTTACATGTTAACTTGTACTACAGCTTACAGCTTTCTGTATACCAAATTTTTGAATATATTTTAGGAATACAGTATGTACAAAGAAACTGACTATAAAGTCATTTACAATAATGTCAAATTTGCACTTAGCACCATCAAATTTATGTCTTATAAATATCTGCCAGTTTAAATCTTTTGTTTTATTTGATAATGTTATTAAATTCTACTATATATGTTTAGAATTTGTTCCTTGTGTAGAAGGCTGCCAGCTTTGGCTAAATAATCATTTGAGTAATGTAAATCAAATCAAAGAGAATACTGACAGGGGTTGGGAAACAAAATCCTAGTCCTGGCTTGGCCCTGTGTGACTATGGGTAATTACTTTAACCACAGGGCTTCAGATTCCTCATTCATAAAATATAAAGGCAGGGTTAGATTGTATAAAAATGTTTTTCAATCTAGAATATTTGGTATTTCTAATATTTTACCACCCCTTACCCTTGTCCCCTGTGACCAAGCCTAATAAAAAAAAAAGTTGCCATCCAGTTAAAAGCCCTCAGAAAAGTGGAATCCAGAAGAGGTACTTATTATTCTTCCCTGATTACATCTACAGAACAAGGAAAAGGAACTTCTAAAAACCAAAATCAAAACACAGAAAGGTAGGAGTGGGGAGATTTGGTAAGGCCAATGCTCAGAAATATTCATTTTTAATTTGCAGAAGGAGTCAGGATGAGGGACTTTGGTAGTAAAAAATTTGTAAGATTCAGTGGACTTTGAAATGCCTCCTGACTGTTTGATCTTCTCTGAGCTTCCCATTTTTCTAGTCATTGACAGTACAACACTAAAAAAAGTCAACGAACAGCCAGGTACAGTGGCTCACACCTGTAATCTCAGCACTTTGGGAGGCCCAGGCAGGTGAATCACCTGAGGTCAGGAGTTCGAGACCAGCCTGCCATGGTGAAACCCCATCTCTACTAAAAATACAAAAATTAGCCAGGTGTGGTGGCATGCACCTGTAGTCTCAGCTACTCAGGAGGCTGAGGCAGGAGAATCGCTTGAACCCGGGAGGCAGAGGCTGTAGTGACCTGAGATAGTGTCACTGCACTCTAGCCTGACAGAGCCAGACTCCACCTCAAAAAAATCAAAGAGCTTGTGTGCATATATTCACCAACAACAGTGAGACGCTAAGGCTTAAAAGTGCTGCTGGCAGCTAATTAGCGAGAAAAACAAAGCTGCAATAAAAAGGAAGAACACGGAGAACTCAGTGATAGTAAAAGGACACCTTCATCCAAAAATCCTGATTATGTGGGATGTTTCCACCTCTCCATATCACACAGCACTTTTTGTCACTGAAGTGTAAGATAAAGTCCAAAAGCATGCAGGGGTCAGGTATTCCTAGAAGCACATGTTCTTATACCTCTTCCTGTGAATTTGATCCTTTGCTTCCAGTGCCAGGCCATTTTCGCTTCATTTTCTTCTGTTTGCCATTTTTGTGACCAGCTTTAAGGTTTTTATTTTTTTGTTTAGCAGCTAAAAATAAAAAGTTAATTTAAAAAATGACAAAGTTACAACAGCAGTTTGCTTTTAAGAAGTACAGGGCCAGGTGCAGTGGCTCACGTCTATAATCGCAGCTCTTTGGGAAGCTGAGGCAGGCGGACTGCTCAAGGCTAGTGGTTCAAGGCCAGCCTAGGCAACTTAGTTAGCTCTTGTCCCTACAAAAACTTAGCTGGGTGTGGTGGTGCATGCCTGTAGTCCAGCTACTCTGGGACTACAGTTTAAGACTACACTTAAACCAAGAAGTTCAAGTGTAGCAGGAGTGGCCGCGGGAAAGGATTTATTGGACACCGAATACAGGAGGAAGGAATTTATTTTAGCTGGGAGCAAGGTGGCATAGGTGCCTAACAGCCAAGCTCGTTTAACAAAGGGAGGTTAGGCCTTTATATAGGCTTCTACTTTAGATGTTACACATGGAAGAATCTTAGAGTCATAGTTTTAGGACTCACATGTGAAAAGGTATTTGTTTACAGTTTTAGGAATTACATATGAAAGGGTTCTGGTTTACAGTTTTAGGACTCACATGTGAAAAGGTTTCTGGCTTGATCTTGTTTTAAGTAAAAATAGTGCCTTCTGGAGAGTTTCCCTAAGGCCTAGCCTGTTGTTTTCAGGAAGGAGATTCAGGAGGCGCCAGCTAGCCTGCTCTCTCTCATCTATTGAGATGCACCGTGGATGACAGAGGGGGATGGAATCCCAAATGTCTGGGTCTCCCTCTTCATCCCTCCCTTTGAGACCTTCACCATTTTATAATATTAGTGAGAGGTCTCACTTTTATTTTTGCTTTTTAGATTTTTTGAAGAAATTTAATGTTTTATATAATATACTTGTGATGTTATTTTTGGCTAACTACAGCAGTGATGAATTCCTTAATTATTTGAAGGAACAGGGGGAGTAGACAAGGGAGCAACAAACAAACACCTATTATTATTATAACACTTATGGCGAGGGTTTTGAATCCTTCTAAGGATGAGAACCAACCTTTAAATAAGGACTTAGGGCCGGGCGCGGTGGCTCAAGCCTGTAATCCCAGCACTTTGGGAGGCCGAGGCGGGTGGATCACGAGGTCAAGAGATCGAGACCATCCTGGTCAACATGGTGAAACCCCGTCTCTACTAAAAATACGAAAAATTAGCTGGGCATGGTGGCGCGTGCCTGTAATCCCAGCTACTCAGGAGGCTGAGGCAGGAGAATTGCCTGAACCCAGGAGGCAGAGGTTGCGGTGAGCCAAGATCGTGCCATTGCACTCCAGCCTGGGTAACAAGAGCGAAACTCCGTCTCAAAAAATAAATAAATAAATAAATAAGGACTTAGGGTTAAATTCATGCCATACCTGTACAGGTACATGTGCTAGTTTGGTTGTTTTGCACAATACTTTTTACTGCTTGCCCCTGGTTATTTATGTACAGACAGCAGTTAGTTAGATTGAATTTTTTTACAGACTTTTGCTTTGGCTGCTAGCAAATAATTTAGGACCAGCCGGTTTTGGTAAATTATGTTTTTTATTTGAGTTTTTTGTTGTTGTTGTTGTTGTTGGGCTAAAAAGGGACAGAGCTTTGCTCATTTTATTAGTGAGTATTTTTAAAACAGCCTGCAACCAGATGATCCGCTTGAGCATGTAAATAGGGGTTTGGTATTTCTATGAGCTATTCTTTGCTCATATGGCCGGCCCATAATACTTAATAGTTTTTTTTGGTGGCCACTTATTATTTATTTTCCTATTTTTAGGGTTTTTTTTTTTTTCCAGGGGAGTAGACCGAATACATTAACAGCCCACCTGTCTTTTACAGATAATAGGAAGAAAGAGGGCTTAATGCTGCCTATGACACAGCTATTGGTTGATTTTACGGATTACACACCTTATATTGAGTACAATTATATAAACAAGTGTTCTTTTGTGTTTCTGTATAAGAACTGTAGGACAAAAGAATGGTAGTAACTTTTACGCCTTACTTGGCGTACATACTGAGGGCATTTTTTAAAATTAGTTAATGTTTTTACTGTACAAGTTTAAATATTAAAAAGAACAAGTTTTACGATGAATTTTTTAATGCTTCGGCCGTGCGTGGACCAGTTAGCTTTTAGGATGTGGCTGGAGCAAGGCTGGTTGTCCTTTTTAAGGTGATGCTGCAGTCCTTGCCTTGGTCCAAGTCTCAGATGCTGCTGGTTTATTACACAGCTGAGCTGGATTTAGGCTGGGATTCCCTTTACCTTCACGGCTGTGGGATTGGTTAGGATTAGGTTTGAGGTTTTTTTAATTGTGGCTTTAGAGGGGCTGTACTCCTGTTCTTTATACATGATTACCTAGTGAGAAAGGGTGAATGGGGAGAAAAAGGCTTACAGAACATTTGTTATTTACTTAGGTTGAAAAGTATTTTAAGCGATTCTCCCTAGGGCTAGTAACTAGCATTTTAATTTAATTTCTCCTCACTCTTGAGGAGTTTCTAGGAGTGCCTAGAGTAGGGGAGGGGGCTTATGGTATAAGACTTTATAGGGGATATTTTGTTTTTCCTAAAGGGGGTGCCTTTAATTTTGAATAACACCAAGGGAAGTGCCTGCACTCACTTTAATTTTGTTTTCTGACACACTTTCCCTAACCTGTTTTTGATGGTCCAATTTATTTTTTTACTTTTTCGGAACTTTGAGGCCAGTAGGTAGCATGCCGTTTTTAGGTGATACTTAAGGCTGGCGCTGTTTTTTGGACTAAGTTTTCTACAAATGCTGGTCCATTGTCTGATGCGATGCCTAGTGGCAGCTTAAACTTAGGGATAAGATTTCGAAGCAGCACACGGATTACTTTATGGGCCCTTTTAGTCCCACCTAGAGTAAGTGCACACCAGGCCCAACAAATACTTATGTCCCCTACACTTCGACATTTTAGTAAAGTTTACCTGGAGATTTTTAAACAGAGCTGCTTCTTAAGCTCGAATGCCAGGGAGAACAGTTGAGACCTGGCCTTACGTTGTGTTGCTGACATGTAATGAATGCATTGCTGTGCTACAGTTTTAGTTAAGGCTGAGAAGTGTTAAGATGTAAAAGTACTGACCCAGCATTTTTTTAAGTGACTTTTGACCTAAACGAATGGTTTTATGTATGGCTTGTACAACTACTGCACATAGCAGGCTCTGGTATTTGGCAGGCGTACCAATGAGGTTTTTTGGTATTTATTAGAGTCACCGCTGTGTGGGGTGCTTTGATATTTAAATTTTTTCTAAAGTTGAGGCTAGAATCTTTGATTGCTATTTTTTTTTTTTTTTTTTTTTTGGACAGCATGAAAAGGCTGTGTTAAAATTGGCTAACCCTAAAGCCAGACCTAACTTTTAGTTTTACTTTTAGCTTCTGCCCTGTTTGGAGGGTGTTTTGCTTTTTTCCCTCCCCTTTTGTCACTTTGCATAAGGGTTTGGCTAGTACTGCAAAGTTTGGAAATTTACAATTTACAAAACTCACCCCCTCCCAGGAGCTTTCTCACCTGCTTTTTAGTCTTAGGTTTTGTTACTTTGCAAGCGGCTTGCTTTCTCTTTGCTTTTAGGCTGCGTTCCCTCTTCTAGATGGCGAGCCTTAGATATTGCATTTGCTTTTTGGCAAATTTGGGCTTTTCTTTTTTTAGACACTTTATACTCACAGTTCTCCAGGTGCCGAAATAAGGCATTTGTTTGTGTACCCGACTGCTGTGGGGTGTCCTAATAGAAGGTTATTAGCATACGGAGGCAGCATGCAAGCAAGAAGCTTTTGGGGGATGGTCACAGGCTGATGCCTCCCCAATCATGATGGGAGAGTTTTTGAGTCTCTGGGAAGCTGGGTTTAGGTGCATTGAGTGGTTACACCTGCTTTTGGGTTTTTCCCATTGAAATGCAAATAGTTTTTGACCCTTTAAGGCCGGTTTAATGCTAAGGAGGTATTTTTTAAGTTTAATTAAGTGAACTAACTATTCGCTGCTGGCAATAATTTTAACTGCGTGTATAAGTTGGGTGCAAAGCCACGCAAACCGTGCACTGGCCTGGGCGATAATATTAGTTTTTTGCTTTTGGCTACGAAGTTTTTACCCTCCTTCCTAAGGGACAGTGAGAGCCTGGATGACCCCCGACTGAGGCAGTTTTAGCTGCAGGTAGTTTCTTTTGTTGAATGGGATAGTGGCCCTTGATTTGCACAACAGGTTTTGCCGGAGAAGGGGGGCAGGGGCAATTTATTAAGTACAAGAAAGTTTGTTTTCTTAATACCTTAATAGATTTAACAACACTGGCCTTGTTCCTTTTGATGGGGGGTTACAGAACTGTTGTTCGGACCATGGGCTCTTTGGGGGTCTATGACTTCAGCCCCCCTCTTTTTTAGTTCAGTGGCTCTTTTATTAGATTGAACAGAGCCCCTTTTCGCTTATTTGGATTCTCCTGCTTAGGACTGTTCTGTTCCTTAGTTAACTGCGGACATTTTTTTTTTCTAGCATCCTATTTCTTAACAGAATGCACACTGATTGCATTGCAGGCCAGGGCGGGCAGACTGTGGGGCTTTCCAGGAACCCCCTTTTTTAATACTCTTGGGGGTTCTGGTAATTTGCAGGAACATGCTCCTCCAACCAATTAGAAGCGGCTTGGAGTATTTTTCACCTTTTGTTTGTGTTAAAAAGATGCATAAGCAGCTGATGGCTATCAGCCCAAATGGGGTTATGAGTTTGAATAATAGTTTGCAGTAGATTAATGAGAGCTTGGAGTTTTTTTGGTTTAAGAGGGTTTTTTTTTTTTTTTAATTGATAAGATTAGCCGAGGTGAACTGCAGGTACGTGAAAACACGCCTTTTTACCATGTGGCCATTCTTGTCCACTTTTGTGTACCTTTGCTCTCTAAAAGGCATTTGCACCCCAGCCTTGGGTCACAGACAGGCTGCCAGAGGGGGAGTTCCCTGTGGGAAGCGGACAGCAATGGGCGGAGTTTTTTTACATTCTGTTTGCTCTGGAGGGTTTTAGGGGTGTGCATCTCTGGTGGGGATGCTGAGGCTGGTGGCCCAGGGGCAGGGAGTCTTTGAGGAGGAGAAGGAGGCATGATTGACAAAAACTCTTCTGCCGCTGGGTTGACTAAAACTTTGGGAGCCAGTTTCTGCCACCGAATTTGCCAGGGCCTTGGGAGTTTACTTTTTTCGGTGGTGAGGGGGATGGTGGTTTTTAGCAGATTGTTCTTTGGCTACTAAAAGTTGCTGCCTGCTTTTTTAGCTACTTTGGAGGGTTTAACATTAACTGCAACTACGAGTTTACGTATGGAAATTGATTGAGGTGTTTTAGCTTGCCGCATATAACCTTATGCTTTATTTTGGAAATAAGGGACTTTTTTAGGGTCCCCTTTGGGGGCTAACTTACTTTAAGTGCTGGCTAATTTTCTCTACATAAAACCTCTAAATTTTTTGGTGTTATAGTTACTTTATAATTTTTACTAAACTCCTTCTTGAAATTTTTTAGCATGGTTTTTAAAGGGGTGGAATGGCTATGGAAATGACCTATATAAACACTTCAAAGAAACAATTTTCACAGTTAGGAGAGTGTTAGTTCACAGCAGTTCCTGTTCTTGCCTAGCAAGACGCAACACGAGCACTCTCTGATTTACATTCACTTTAATCCTTTTACAATGCCTAGAGGCTTTTTTACTTAGGCCTTCTGTGGCTGTTTTTAATTTTTACAAAGTGCTTGATGCATGAAGCCCTTCTTAATGGGCCTGATACTTTTTACAACTGATGAGTCCGGTTGGACACATCTACACACATAGACACACATTTAATTGCTCTCTTTTTAATTTAAAATCATAAGCAAAAGCTTTTAAGGTTATATAGAAAGCTACTTTCCAACATGCAGATCTGGCACTCGTGGGTGATTAGGCTATGCTTTTACCTAAAATGGGGTGGCCTACTTTTTTGGGTTTAATTTTTTTTTACAAATTGCTTGACAACACAGACACGCATTTACACACATAGACACACATTTGATTGCTCTCCCCCCAATTTAAAACCATAAGCAAAAGCTTTCAAGGTTACAGAGAGAGCTACCTTCTAACGTGCCGATTTGGCACCCATGGGTGATTAGGCCACACTTTTTTTTTTTTTTTAAGACAGAGTTTCGCTCTTGTTACCCAGGCTGGAGCGCAATGGCGCTATCTCAGCTCACTGGAGCCTCCGCCTCTTGGGTTCAGGCAATTCTCCTGCCTCAGCCTCCTGAGTAGCTGGGATTACAGGCACGCGCCACCATGCCCAGCTAATTTTTCGTATTTTTAGTAGAGACAGGGTTTTACCATGTTGGACAGGATGGTCTCGATCTCTTGACCTCGTGATCCACCCGCCTCGGCCTCCCAAAGTGCTAGGATTACAGGTGTGAGCCACCGCGCCCGGCCCCTAGGCCATGCTTTTACCCAAAATGGGGTGGGCTACTTTTTTGGGTTTAATCTTCTCTTACAAATTGCTTGACGATACAGACACATATTTACACACACAGACACACATTTGATTGCTCTCCCTCTAATTTAAAACCATAAGCAAAAGCTTCCAAGGTTACAGAAAGAGGTACCTTTAAAAGTGCCGATTTGGCACCCGTGGGTGATTACGCCACACTTCCACCCAAAATGGGGTGGGCTACTTTTTTGGGTTTAATTTTACTAAATTCAATGTTTAGACTTCCTTAAATATTCGTTCCTCCTGGGTGTTCAGCCACTGGGTGCATTGACACTGCAGGGCCTCCTTGCTCTGCTCTGGCGAGGCTTTTCCACCGGGCAAACACCTGCCTGGGAGCGCTCTTAGGATGCATTACCTCGGCGAGCAGGAGTTCCCCGCAGGAATGCTTTACAGGGCGAGGCAAACCACCTAAGAGACTTTTCCCCGCCATTTGCTATCTGAGACTCGCTTCCTGGCCAACGCACCTTGTTTTAAGTAAAAATAGTGCCTTCTGGAGAGTTTCCCTAAGGCCTAGCCTGTTGTTTTCAGGAAGGAGATTCAGAAGGCGCCAGCTGGCCTGCTCTCTGCCTTCTATTGAGATGCACCGTGGATGACAGAGGGGGAGGGAATCCCAAATGCCTGGGTCTCCCTCCTCACAAGGTTACCAGGAGCTATGACTGCACCTCGGCACTCCAGCCCGGGCAACAGAGTGAGACTCAAACAGAAAAAAGAAGTATGATTTACAATAATTTAGGAAAGTTATCTAAGGCTCAATAAGTAAAAACTGGCATAATACTGACCGGTCTTTCTAGAAGCTCGGACTAAGGGACCAAAAAGAGAATTATGATAATACATCCTGGATTCTCTATTCATTCTTTTTAAAAATATGTACGGTATTGTCAAGAAAAAGGATAATAAAATCAGTCTTACAAGCTCTAAGGCAGATCATTGTGAAGTGTTAAGAGTATGATGGATCTAATTAGGAAGTGGAAAAGTAAAAGCTTTAAGTGTTTAAAATGACCTCATATATTACTGTCAGATTTTTCACTGAAAACATTTTAAATAGATTAAGTTTTTATTTATCTATCTATCTGTCCATCCGTGCATGTATCCATCCATCCACCAATGGCATGATCATAGTTTACTAGAGCCTCGAACTCCTGGGTTCAAGCAACAGATATCCATTTTAAAGAGAAAACCAAAAAAAAATGACAGCATTAAAAATTTATTTTTTTCGTTTTTTTTTTTTTTTTGAGACAGAGTCTTGCTCTGTTGCCCAGGTTGGAGTGCAGTGTACAATCTCGGCTCACTGTAACCTCCACCTCCCGGGCTCAAGTGATTCTCATGCCTCAGCCTCTTCGGTAGCTGGGATCACAGGGGTGTGCCACCATGCCCTGCTAATTTTCAAGGTTTTACCATGTTGGGCATACTGGTCTCGAACTCCTAATCTCAAGTGATCCACCCACCTTGGTGTCCCAAAGTACTGGGATTACAGGCGTGAGCCACTGCACCTGACCAAAAATTTCATTTATAATTGCCATTTGCCCTCATATTTATGGCTAAATCTCATTTCAGTAATCTAAAAGAATATATTTCTGAGTCACAGTCTGACAGCCATTCCAGTCAATGCCTCTTTAAATGACAGCAATAAAAACAGGCATATCCTATCCTTTATACATGCGGAGGCCAGGACTTTAGCATTCTCCCTTTAGAAATAGACATGGCCTTTGATAACTCACCTCCATCTTCCAGCTCCTCCTACAAACTGAACATTTAATGCACCGAGAGGCCAGGTCTCATGTGGGGTCTCAGGCCATGTAAGGTCATGTCTGGTGTAAATATCCATGAAAACCATATTCTTACCATGAGATAAAGTGCAAGGAAAAATCCTCTGTCCACATACGGACAACTGTGACTGCTTCTCTAGATAAACTTTAAATTATAAAATAGTTTGACTCTTACCCTGTGGAGTATCTTTTACTCCTTCTTTCTTCATAGATTCTTCAGGTTGAGCAGCATTTGCCATTTCTCTGGCTTGTATGTATTGCTGAAGCTCTTTGGCAAAATTATCTTCTGGTTCCTGATTGCAGATATCCTTATCACTATATACATCATAGTCCTTACTTCTTGATTTTCTATGCAGTGAACTTTTTGGTGATATTGCAGAGTTTCCAAAGTGTCTGAACTAAGTAAAAATTAAAACTTCAATTAAAAAAACCTAGCATGATTCAAAACAATCTGGCTATACAGAAGAAAGAAGATTGGCTATAGATTGATCATTGCTGAAGTTGGGTAATAGGTACATGGGGTTCATATACTATTCTTTCCACTCATATTTGAAAATTTCTGGAATTAAAAACTAACCACTATGACATATCTATCATTAAAGATGATTTGAGGGAAGATTCTAAATTTGTACACTGTATGCATTTGACTGAATTAAAAGTCTAAACCCCTAAATTTTAGTTATTTGATATGAGGATTACATTATTTAGTTCACACATTATGTTTCTGCCTTTGCATTGACAGTACTTTTAAACATCTTTCATAATTTATCATTTCATAAAACACCAAGTAAACTGTAATGGCCCATATGAAAACTCAAGATATCTTTCAGCTACCAAAGCCTAGTCTTTCTCCTATAACTCACAGCAGTGGTAGCAGCAATGATGACAAGAAATAAAGAACTACCCTGTTCTCTGTAATCGAGTTAACTTTACTTTTGGAAAAAGTTTCCTAATTCCGTTATTGCAAGTGCCCAAGGCAATGGTGAGGAATTCTGGCACCCACAGGAACAGGAACCCAGGTATGGGAGCTAATCCTAGAGGAGCCCAAGCTGATCACAGAAGATGACTTAAAGCAATTTCTGCATAAAAATTTTCAAGTATTGGTTACGCATGTGTCTACACTTGGTGACACAGGTATATCAAAGTGTATAATTATAATTAGTATGTAGGACACATTTTAATCAAAAAGTTTATTTTAAAAAATGATCAGGGCTCCTATTCTGATGTCAGGAAGAAATGGTATGCCTATCATTACAGTGAACAAATGATTCTGTTTCACAGCATACTTTGGGGCCTGGTCCCTTATTTGCTTTCACGTAGCTAAGAAGCAAACTCAAAACAAACAAAAAATACAACAAATGGAAGAATCAGGCCGGGTGCGGTGGCTCAAGCCTGTAATCCCAGCACTTTGGGAGGCCGAGGCGGGTGGATCACGAGGTCGAGAGATCGAGACCATCCTGGTCAACATGGTGAAACCCCGTCTCTACTAAAAATACAAAAAACTAGCTGGGTGTGGTGGCGCGTGCCTGTAATCCCAGCTACTCAGGAGGCTGAGGCAGGAGAATTGCCTGAGCCCAGGAGGTGGAGGTTGCGGTGAGCCGAGAGCGCGCCATTGCACTCCAGCCTGGGTAACAAGAGCGAAACTCCGTCTCAAAAAAAAAAAAAAACAAAAACAAAAACAAAAAACAGAAGAATCACCAAAAAAAAGGACCAAAAAACTAAACTGTTAAATTGGGCCACCTAATATATTAATATAGTAACAGTTTGCTTTTAACAGTTTACTTTTTTTTTTTTTTTGATGGAGTCTCATTCTATTGCCCAGGCTAGAATGTTGTGGCACAATCTCAGCTCACTGCAACCTCTGCTTCCCAGGTTCAAGCAATTCTCTTGCCTCAGCCTCTCGAGTAGCTGGGACTCCAGGTGTGTGCCACCACACCCAGCAAATTTTTGTATTTTTGGTAGAGACACGGTTTCACCATGTTGGCCAGGCTGGTCTCGAACTCCTGACCTCAAGTGATCTGCCCACCTCAACCTCCCAAAGTGCTGGGATTACAGGTGGGAGCCACTGGGGTGGCAACGGTTTACTTTTGATGGTTAATTTCAAAGTTAGGAGTTGCTCCACCAGAGAATTGATTATAAGCCTAGAAAATGAACGTGCTCCCTGCTTAAAGAATTCAAACGAGCTGAGGAAGTTTCTTGATCTGACACTGGCCTCAATTGTACCTTATCTTTACTACACAGACAAGACTACCAACCAATCTATTATCTTCAGGCATACTTTGGGGCCTGGTCCCTTATTTGCTTTCACGTAACTAAGAAGCAAACTCAAAACAAACAAAAAATACAACAAACGGAAGAATCACCAAGAAAGAAAAAAAAAAGTTCTTGTCTCCAAGACAAGACAAGCTTCTTGTCTCCAAGTCTTAAGAAGGAGTACCTTTTTCCCACTAACACCACAGAAGTAAACTTGTAAATATAACTTCTAGACTGATAGATTAGGGGTTGGCAAACTTTCAGCTTCATCACCTGTTTTTGTAAATACAGTTTTACTGGAACACCAGTCACATCCATTCATTTACATATTGTCTTAGTTGTGACAGAGACAACATGGCCCATAAAGTTGAAAAGATTCACTATCTGATCCTTTATGAAAAAGTTGGCTGGCTGTGATAGACTATAGATATACACAGATAGAATCTGTGATGGATTATGTTTACCTTGGTTTTAGCCTTTAATTTTATTTAGTTGGCATGTAGGAACCAAACGATTATTTAGTATGCAGCAGCTCCTATGAAGTTTAGCTTAATCAAATACATAGACATGAGATTTTCTTCAGTGCATCTCAATCAAAATATTAAAATGATCCAAATGAGTGAATAAGTTCCCTCTGCCTGCACAAAACACGTAGGCCGACAGTACTGAAGCAGATTCCTTTTATGACAAGTAATACGTCTGACTTGTATTAAATGAAGACATGAAACAATCTGGCAACATTAATAAAGCCAGGACAATCATCAATTGTGCTGTTTTATTACACAGTAGGGATGAATATTACTAATGATTATTTTCAGAGGGCATTGAAATATATAAAATACAAATTACTGAAATACTTTTCTTCACTTAGTTATAAACTTATTACTTCAGTTTGTTTATTGTCTAATTTAGGAAGTACACAAACATGATTATAACCCCATTCTCCCTTTGTAACAGAGTCTAAATAACCATTTTTTGATTCAAGATGGTTTACTGAACTAGTATGGCCTCCAGAAGCCCCCCCCCCCCAAGTATAAAAGTACAGGTAACAACGTCTCTCGCTCTGCATGTGTGTGTTATGTTTGTGTGTAGTATGTGTGTGTGTATGAGGGGCATGAAGTGCATTCATCAGGAACTGAAAGTCAACAAATTTCTGGCAGACAAAAAGGAAGTTATGCTCTAAAGTTTGGGCTGAGGTACAGTGTGAGAAATGGGACCATAAATGAGAATGAATTCAAATTCTACATGAAACAGACAAAGCTGTCACAACAAATTCTCTCTGCCCTATCCCTCTCCAGAACACAATCACTCAGGGACTTTTCCCTAGGAAAAAAGAGAAGGCTGTTATCCAAAGAAACGGAAGAGAATGTCTGGTAAAAGCTAAGTCTTCATATGTGGGTAGTAAGACCATCCATATGGAGGTACTACATCTTCCACATGCTGACATTTGGGAGCAACCCCTACCAGAAAAATACTCCATCCTACTCACAATAAAGCACGAATGAATTCTCACCCTGCTGTCCAGAGACCCCCCTCTCAAGGGCCTATGGATTGAATTCAGAAAATTCAGTGAACTTGAATGAGAAGAAAACCACGTATTTTCAACAACCTCCAAACTGACATTTGGTATTTGAACAAAGGAAGTATGTTCAAATATGTTCTTCTGTTTTGAACATAGGAAAAGAAAACATAGCAGTATCAGCAGTATCTGTGACTGTCACTAATACAAATCATTATATTTTCAGATATCACATTACAGTTGTTGCAGATCTCAAAATATCTTTTATGTTCATGGCCACTGCAAAATTAGAATAATCAGACTCACTTCTCTGCTAGGTCTTATTATTCAGTATATTATTAAAGAACATATTACTCTATAGCATTTGTTTTTAATATTTTGATAAACTGTATTTCAATCAAATCAATTCCCTCTGTAATCAAACATATTTTATTTTATACACTTTAAAAACTCTGAAAAGAGGTCCATGGGCTTCATCAGACTGCTACGGGGTACATGGCACAAAGTGGGCTGAGAACTGTTACGCTGCTGGGAAACCTCCTACCCACAGAGCCCACTTACTTACCACCCAGTCAGGCTTCCCATTTAGAGGAAAGGCCTTTAGAGACACAAATTTACCAACACATCAGCAGAGGACATCTATGAACTCTCCGGGTCTTTCTTAAATGAATGGACAACAAAAGAATACAAAGGCATGTGACAAAAATCTAGAGCTGGAGTCAGCAAACTACAACCCAAGGGCAAAATCCACACTGCCACCTGTGTTCGTAACCAACTACAAGCTAAGAATGAACTTTACCTGTTTTCATGGTTGAAACAAAATCAAAAGAATATTTTATGACACTTGGAAACTATATAAAATTCAAACTTCAAAGTCCATAAATACAGTTTTATTGGAACATAGGCATACTCATTCACTTACATATTATGTGGTATTATGTGGCCTGCTTCCTTGCTACAACAGCAGAGTTGAGTAGCTGCAAGAGAACTTTATGGCATTCTCATCACTTCAGAGAGATGCTCTGTGCACTACAAATTGCCCTGACAGTTATAAATTGACAACATTTTGAGTGCCTCATTGAGTACCTCTTGCCTTTTTTTTTTTTTATTACCAGTGCATACCTACCACATCAAAACATGAAAAGCATTCAAATATCAAGTATTTAGAGGCACAGTGAACTGTGGATTATTTTACTGTCAAGTCAGATGGTAAAGCACTGTGGTTATTATGTGACAATACTACAGCAGTGCTAAAAGGACACAATGTATGTTGACATTACAGTATTAAGCATTCATCACAATATTCCCAACTCACGAGAGTAAGAGAAAAATTAGAAAATTTTAATCCAGCTCTCTTCTGATTTTTTTTAATTAGAAAATTTAAAATAAATTAAATCATCCACAAATTTTTCTTTCCAAAAATAAAACAAAGCTATAATCAAAGTAAGTTTCATTTGTAGCCAATCAAAGAAGGCTGACAGTTGATTTCATTTGTAGCCAATCAAAGAAAGCTGAGGTTGATTACAGCAGTTAAAGAAATCTGTCCAGAGAAAATAAAGTTCTTAAGACAAGTGGCCTTTTGGCAAAAACAGCTGCTCAAAGACATGAGGAAACTGGAGCGTTATC